AATGGCCGGGTGCCAACACATGACGGAATAATCCCAGCAGAGGATTCATGCAAGAGCCGCGAATTAACAAACACCAGCAGGTCAGCCCCAGGCTGCAATTCGATCGAAATCGCATCTCGAATATTCGCCAACAGATACGAGTTCGTCTGACGGGCGTTAAGCCCTTGCAGCGCCCTTATGCTCACGACCCCGCTAGCGCCTCGCCTCGCGAACGCGAAAGTTGACGACTTCGTCATGGCCGTCTACACTACAAAAACACCATGGCATCGCCGCTGATGCTCGCCACTATGCGCGCACAATTGAATACGTATATCTTGAATAGTAGTACAGCTTATTTCGAATCAATTGAACATGGCTGAGCCCATTCCCGCCGAGGAGCAATCCAACTACGAAACGTTCCGCGACTGCATGAGCGAGCTGGTCCTCAAAGCGCTCGCCGCGCCGGCGGAGAAGCCCAAGCCGAAGAAGAAGCGCCACGCGAAGAAGGGGTCAAAGAGCGGGAAGAGCGACGATACGCCGCAAGACAAAGCTTTAGAAACCAGCAATGCAGATTCGCAAACCAACGACGCCGAAGACCTAGGCGAGTTTATCGAAGTACACAATCCCCATGTCTCTACCTACTGCATAAACTAACAATCGCAACCACAGTACCTCAGCGCCCTCATCTTCCCCAGCCTCCCCGCCTCCCTCCGCACCCTCACCCACACCCTCTTCACATCCACCCCCTCCCTCGAGGAAACATACTCGCCGCCTCTCTCCGCCGCAACACGCATCCTCGTCTTGACCAGCATCCCACCCATCGCCATCGACAGCCTAGAATCCTACGCCCTCCTCCCCCCATGCTCGGACCAAACCGACCATCACAACCTGCTCACCCCGCTCTTCACAGCCTACATAACTGCCGTGACGGCGCCGCCACCCATCTGGTCCAGCACCCGCACCTCGGCCTGCGAATTATGCGGCAGAGACTGGGTCCCGCTGACGTACCACCACCTCATCCCCAAATCGGCGCATGCGCGCGTGCTGAAGCGCGGGTGGCATGCAGAGGAAAGGTTGAATAGCGTGGCGTGGTTGTGTCGCGCGTGTCATAGTTTTGTGCATGGACTTGTGGGGAATGAGGAGTTGGCGAGGAGTTTTTATACCGTCGAGTTGATTGTTGAGGGGGGTGTGCAGGGGGATGCCGAGGTTAGGGAGAGGGTGGAACGGTGGGTTAAGTGGGTTGGGGGGGTGAGGTGGAAGAGTCGGTGATTTTTTGGGCGTCAAAGACGGTTTGATTATTTAAGAGGGAAGAGGAAGAGAGGAGGAGTGGAGAGCACGAAGAATGGAGAGAAAGAGTAGATGTTGTAGATGTAGTTAATCATAAATATTAAAACTTTCATATCTGAGACGTTCATATCATCTCTGCACCTTACCAACCGTTTGTTCGGTGGAGGTAACCATGGTTGGGGGGGGGGGGGTATCTATGCTAAAAATGTGTTCCAACGCTCGCTATTCATGCCAATGCCAAGTAATGCTACACACCCATTTCCCTTTGTAATGCTCAAAAAAAAAGGAAAAAAAATCCCTAGAAACAAACGAAAAAAGAAAAGGATGACTGGTTCTCCGAGGCAAAAAATTGTCCTGCAATTTGCCCGTAGAAGCCCTGGGGTCTGGAAAGCCCAAAGAAAGGGATGGGGGGGAGAGAACTGAATCCTCATCCCCCCTACTTAACAAACGAAAATATAAGAGAAGGAAAAGAAGAAAGTATTACATATAATACAAAAAACACCGCTTAGAAAGTTAAGAAGGAAAGTGTGTATGTTGTTACAAGGGCGCATCATCCAAAAACCCCTTCTCGACTTCATCAGCAAAGACGGGGTAAGACTGCCACATTTTGCCGCTCTTGCTCCTGCGAGCCTCGAGGCTAGCGCGGATGTGCAAGAGGAAGCGCTCGGTGGAGGGATCACTGGTGGTGCGGCGGAGTTCGCAGTTTGAGTTTTCAATGGGAAGCTGAGTAGTACAAGTGGTGGTGGTGGTGGTGGTGGTGTCGAAGGGGGCGATGAGGGAGATGTCGTTGGCAGAGTTGGCAGTAGTAGCAGTAGTAGTAGTAGTAGTATCAAGAGGATCGATGGATTCGATTTCCTCTTCACGGCCAAGACCAGCGTCGAGTTTGCTGAGGATTTGGAATTCCTCACGGATGCGGCGGGCGGCCCATTCGCCGGCGGGGAAGGACTTGCGGCGTTGGGTGGTGGCGAGGTACTCGTGGTAGGCGTCGGTGGTGAGGCGGAGGCTAGACTCGTTGGTTGGGTTGCTCTTGGGGAGGAGCTTGGGTGATTGTTTGGGTGAGGGGAGTTGCATGGCGGGGACGGGAGCCGGGGGTGGCGAGGGAGGAAGTGAAGGTGGAGTTTGGGTAAAGTCGACGAGTTGGCCCGGGTGTGGCTCTTCACATTGGGTGCGGCTGGTGGTCGGAGTGATGATGTCCAGCCTTGCGCTCTTTGATCGCGTGACCTCGGCATCGGAGCCGGAAGAGTCGATCCGCTGCCTCTTGAAGGATTCGGTCATTTCTGTCCTTGGGGAACCGGATGCGGATGAGATGCTGGTGCGAGGGCTGACTTGAGGCGAGTAGTCTGAGGATTGGCGACGGCGAGAGGAAAATCCAAAGCCAAAGTTGATGTTGAAGATGTCGCTGGGTCGGGGACGCTTCTTCTTGAGCTTCTTGGGAAAAGTCCAAGTGGTGTCCTTGAAGGATATTTTTGGCGACGAAGTCGACATGGGTTGGTGTGTGGGGAGTTGGCGGCTGGCGATTTCCATCATGGCTGCGTTTAGTGTAGCGAAGAGAGACGAGTCGACAAAGTGGAGGTTGTTATTGTTGATGACAGGAGGAGTAGGAGTACAAGGTCTAAGTCTCTTTGCAGGTGGGTGATTTTGGGGCGGTAGTGCGTGCAGAGGTCTTTTTAATGGGTGTTGTGGGCGTCGGTGAGTCTTGTTCACCGTCTCTTTTGGCACAGCAATAGCGGTGGCAGTAGTGGCTGTAGGAACAACAGCAGCAGCAAGGGCAGAAGCAGGGCCAGCACAGTGATGATAACCTTGGTTCAACGCCAGGGACCCGGCAACCTCTCTAGCCGCCGTGGTGGCACTGGACAGGTAGGCATCGCGTGTGAAAGTGTAGTACAGGTCATCTTGCAGGCAGTGTTCACGGGGCGGTGGTCGTGGGATGCTGCCTCTGCTGGTGCTGGGTAGACCGCCAGTGTTCGCAAGTTGCGGTGTCGGCGCTAGCAGCGGCGGTGGCGGCCACACCGGAACTACTCCAAGAGTAGCGGTAATGGCCCTGGGTTGCTGTGGCACGGGGAGAGTCGGGACAGCACATGTCGTTTGTTGGCGAGGCTGTGGGGGGGATGATGAGGCGAAGGCGGGCCTGGTTGGGTCAGATGCTGCTGGCGGTGACATGGGGCTCGTGACGTGGTGATCCTGTGTCCAGCCTCCAGGCCTGTCCCCAGCCAAAGCCCCCATTGGGTATGAAGCCATTGCGGTGTGTGTTTCAGAGTAGGGACTCATGTCTGCTGCTGTTTTCTTGTGCTGCAAAATCAGGTTTGCCGAACCACCCCCTTCATGCGTGTGCCAGTGACGTGGAGTTTGACCTTTTCGCAATGACTGTTGCTCGAGCATGCGATGACTGTTCCAAGTTGCCATGATGTGTTTTCTTCTTCTTCTTCTTCTTCTGGTGCTCGAGAGACAGAGGGAGCCCTCTGGCAGCCGCGGTGGGCGCCATGCTATATACTAAACTTTTTTTTCCTTTTATTATCTCTGTGCTTGCCAGTGCGCAGCACCAGTAGCAGTAGTACCGAGGGCGCTGGATAGAGGCCTCGCCATGAGGCAGAGACTCTCTGGCCGGATCCGGTACACTTGTCGACACACAACCGCACCGCAGCGCCCCAGCTCACAAATCTGTCGTGCATCCAACACTGACGTATCCTACCAGCCTCAAGTTGACCAGACATGGCTTTTTCCCACTCTCCCGGGCTCACTCAGTTTGATATTTGACTTCTCCGGTCACCCATGCGTCAATCCAGACCCCAGGAACCGCAGGCGAGTGTGGCGGCACGACCAGCGGAACGGTGCGCACGGAGGAGGGCGAAATCGATTTCCGCTTTTTCCATGTACGAAATGACAGTAGTGTGTATTGCGTACTTCGACCCGCTCTCGCATTCCCTCCATGTCCATTGGCCGCGCTGCCCGCGCTGGCCCTCTCCAAACTGGCGATCCATGGGTGAAGGCCTCTGCCCAGCTGAGCTGAACTGCTGCTGGAACCGGGGTCCGCTTGGTACCGAAGCCACCGAGCGTACCGACTAGTCCGCGCTAGACGCCGGAGATGTGAGATCTCAAGGGTCCATGACAGTTCGGCGAGCCCTGACTATCTTGGTTCAGCGTGCTTTTTGGTGCAATCGACGACGACAAATGCTGGTAGGTGAGCATAGCCATGATGATACAACCATACATATACCACATTTGCAAACAAAAAAATTACTTCCTTTTTGTGAAGAAAATTTCTTGACAGTCTAGACGTGAACACCACGTGCCGCTTAGGTTTGCTAGGGGATGCGTAGTCGGGTGGCTCGTGAGCAGCCTAGCATCCTCACTAAACACTACCTCAAGAACGACAGCAGGTTGCACGACTAGTCCCTCACCGGACACTCGCATGGCCAAACAGAGCTCGGTTACTCCAAATGCTTGGCCAGCTCCTACCCCAAGATTCATACATAGACTACCAACATCGCGACTACTTTTCTACCTGAACCCGACTATTTTGCTTTTTCCTCTCCAACATGTCCCACCATATCTCTAGCTCCTGTCCCCTTCAATTCCGCATCAACTCCCGACCGTCCGACTGGCAAAGCATCCTAATTCACCGTGGATTATACTCCGGCTTGGCATCAACAAAATGCTGACCTCCTGTACTGTGCAGCACTTTAGGTTGATCTGACACGCACACCTCCCAGCCGGTCCAATCAATCGCAAAAACTTCAAAACCCTGCGTCTGCAACCACGCTCTCCCAAACACCCCGCCAGTCCGCTTTCCCACCTCCGTACCTCGCTTCAAAAGCGTTCATCGCAAGATTTCCCAGGAACGGCCGGACCAATCGATTCACTAGCTCTCCCCTAGTCATCTCCAAAACGGCTGCGCCCTCCTCCTTCTCCAGAGCCTCGATCAGCGGATCTAGAAGCAGTACCCGCTTGGGCTCATCCCCGTCCAACCCATGTTGCCCACTCATAGGCGCTGCAGGCGCTGCCGAAGACATGCTCAACACTTCGTTGATTTCATCAGTGAGCGACATAAGCGCCGGCGGCTCGACGGGCTTGTATACTGCATCAATCGTGTCGGTAATGAAGAGCCATTCCATCAGCTGGAAATCATCCGGATCCAGCACAACCAGCTCATCCAACAGCTTGCAGCTTTGAATGATGCCTGCATTGTTGTAGTGTTCCTTGTTAGCTGCATCCGGCAGAATGGCTGACAGACCCGATGTCAATTCCCCGTTCACTACCGGCCACAATGGCGCCAGGTGTACTGGCGATGTCTTCAAAATAATCGCCCGTAACAGCACAATGACCTCGGCCCGAGTCGTGGATGAAGGTGACGATGCCGGTGTGGCCGTAAGCAATTCCACAATCTTTTCAACAATCTGCGCTATGTTGGGCGTAAACGCGTCTTCCGCGCTGCTCAGAATAAGCAGCGCGATGCGTCGTAGAGTGAGCTGCGTCTTTCGGTCCGCCTCTTGCCTGGCCGACGTAGCCCCAACACCAAACATGATCCCTGCAGTCGTAGGTGCAGACAGCCGCGATAGCAATTCTGGCACACGTTCCTTGTCCGACTGTGTCCACTGTGCCAAAATAGGCACCCATGCATCTTTCAGCAACGAAAGCGGCGTATTGAAGAACTTTGCGTCATTGAAAGCATCAAAAATATCTTTCTTGACCAGTTTGTTGTTTTGTGAAATCTTGACAAGGCCTTGAAGCAGGTCCAGCATGTTTCTCGACACATTCTCAGGGAAAGCTTTGGCACGGAACGTTGGTCCAATGACAGATGTGGATATATCCGACACCACCTTTGTCACCCGATCGTTCTCAACAAGGATAATTGGCAATTTTGGTACGACAGTACTGAGGATAGAGACAACGTCGGTGGCTCGTTTCTGTGCACGGCCTCCGTTCGTCGTGGCAGCTGCCTTCTCAACCGTGCTCTGACTCGAATCTTGCAGATAACCCATGGAGCGGGTTGTGAAGATTGCAGTAAGAATTCTTGCAAAAATATCCTATACTAGCGGTCAGATAGGTTAATGAAACGAAACTTGCATACTTACAGCGAGCTCCCTCCTCATTCTGCGCTGTTCCCCAAAGTTAGTATTGTCAACCTTCTGCCCTATGACGGCAGTGAACTCTAAGAGGTTTGGTAAGATTTGTCGATGTGGTAAAGGGTTCGCGAGGACATCTTTGAGGAACAGCATGCAGTCCTGCCAGATCTCGTCCATGGCGTCATCTTCCAGAGAATCCGTATACTCAACAAGGAAAGCAACCAGTTCCGTGTCGGTAAGATCAGACGTCAGGGTAGATAGTCTGCTGGGATCCAAGGCACCGGGGTCAGTGCGACTATAGACAGCATTGAAGATGGCTGGGATAGTGTGCTTGGGTTTGGAACCATTCAACACGTTCAACAACCCCATGATTGCAGGTCCTTGAATATCGTCAAGTGCTGCGTGAGCCCATTGCACCGCCAATGTCTCGAGGCATTCCAATGCTTCGGCCCCAAAGAGATGCTCCAGCGTGCGGCGAGCTCGGTTGCGCATACGTAGTGATGTGTACGCGAATGAAGATGCCGATGTAGGATCCTGTGCTTCTTTTCTTTGGCCGTAGCCTCCCCACGACCAGATGGAAAAACAGATACGGACAGTGTCTTGGAAGCAAAGCAGGACTGTTAGTCTACTGTTGGCTGTAGGAGTGCGTGTCTGATTAGTCTCAGAAGAGAAAACACCAGATACCACATTGCTAAAGAAGCCTTGAGGCTGCTCAGGGGTTTTATTGGCTGATACCTTTGTTTCCTGCGTCGTCAGACGTTCGTGTGCCTTGGCCAAGATTTGCTCCAGACCATTCATGAGCGATATCAATGTCGATTCCGGTGATATCATGCGGGGTGCCTCCTTCGTTGAGAAGGTCGTTTTAAGATGCTCGAATGTGATGTTGATTTGCTGGCAAAGACATTCAACAAGCGGAAGAAGATTTTGGAAGATGGTATCAGCAAACATTGGCAGTACCTCAACAAGGAAATGGATCCAATCCTCAAGAACCAAGCGACTAGTTGGTGATGAGAAGCCAAACTTCAGGCATTCGATTAGCTGAGGGGGTGGCGGGACAGGTGCCGGCTCATTGTCTTCAGACTCTCTATTTAGGGTCAAAGAGAGACGTGACCGATTCGTTGTAGGAGGACTGAGTGTCTTGGCTTCAGCCGGCTGTTCTTGCGGACGAGTAAGACGGAGTCTCAGTGCAGCAAGCTCCGCACCTAATATCAGACTTTGCAAAGATGGATTTGCTGATCTCAGTCTGTTCATAAGTGGTATTTCAAGCTCCAGATCTCGAAGTGGAGTGGCAAATGGACTGCGGTAGATTTGCGATATGACCGAGACGGATAGCCTGTGTAACTCGTGGATGTGTGGCTCCGCATCCTTTTCCGAAGCGCCAGCATGAATTGCCAGCGTTTTCAAGCAAGTACGTACAAGCCATTCTTGGATCGTCACTCGCAATGTAGAATCTTCTGACCAAGCGACACTCATTTCAGCAAGCGTAGCCCAGGTAAGGCGTGATGGGTTTTTCACAACATTAGCAATGTGCTTGAGGTAGTACAAGCACTCTTTGGTATCATCTCTTTTCGAAAGCTGTAAACGTCTTGGATTGGCCTGTTCAGGCGCCAGGTTGTTCGAACCCGCCAAGCAGTTCATCGACTGAATGTGAACTGCAAGGACTTCAATAATTCGGTTCAGACTCGGCAGTTCATGGAGCCAACTTTGCATAAAGGTAGACGTTTCGGAACCTTCGTCCGCGATTGTGTCTAGAAGTAGAAGAAGCGGCCTTGTCAACACGGCCTGGAAGTCGTTGGCAGGAAGTGAGACAGGAAGAGCGTTGCCACTTGGTCGTCGCGTGGTGCTTGGGCGCTTCTCTGACTGTAAGCTCAGCTCATGCATAACATGTGCCCAGAGTGTGGCGAATCGTCGACCGCAGTTCGAGGATCCCTCAATTCCTGGAGCCTGGGACATCTGCTTTACAACTATGGACGATATGGCGCTCTCAACCATTCGACTTGCTGGAGCCATTGAGTGCAGTAGCAGTAAGCACCGTGCTGTCTCGACATGATACTTGGGTAATGTTGGCGAAAGGTATTGCCAAAAGTATTCAATTAGAGGGTATGCAAGCTCGGACAACTGGTCTAAGGTAATGCAGGGTCCCGATGGAAGTGCAGTCTGAAGAGCCAGGAGGACACTGGTTATGGCGCTCAATAGTGAAAACGGCGGGACAACCTCGGAATCAGCTGGCTTTTGAAGAATCTCTGCAAATACGGCTGGGAGATCCGTCTCTTCAATTGCGTTCGTGCACTGGGTTTTGAATATCAAGCTCGCAAGGATTCTGGAAGGTGTCTCGGCCGAGTTTTGAGGGCTGTTTGATTGCAAAGCCCCAATGAACATTCGTGAAGCCTCACGAAGAACAATTTGGCCCAGTTGCCTTGGATCAAAGGGTAGATCTGCCGCGTCAAGGCTCCCTTGAGATTCTTCATAGAACTCTTGGAGTTTCTGAGACACATTTGCGGGGGTCATCTTGAGGGCTTCAGATAGTTGTTCGTCCGTTGCTTTACCGCTCTGGAATGAACGGTCTGGTACGACCTGAACAAGCGAGTCTAAAATCTCTAGAGCCAAACTCCTGACCTCAATCTCCGCCGATGTAATGCTCGCTGCGTTGGACGACTCGTTCAAGCGTATAAGTGTCGATAGAATCATCAGAGGCATGTGATACAATAGCATATCCTCTTCTTTGAGGTTGAAACGTGCAAGAATAAACTTTGTCAGCTTCACCTTCCGTAATGCTTCACTATGAGAGGCCAGACCTGTCTGCAGAGAGGATGTGATGAGGTGGATAAGCTTGCCCCAAATCAAGCCGCTGTCGACGCCATCAAAGAATGCACTGGCGCTTCTCACCACTTCGTCAACCTGATCTCTTGAGGCATCCTCGCTGTAAGAGTGGACACTCTGCAATGCTGGGAGGAAAATCTCAGGTACAATCAACCCACCTACCTCCCAACGATCCATAAGCGATAGACATACTCTAAAAGGACGTGCTCGCTCGGCAGGGGTTTCACTACGTCGATTAATCATTTTGAGCACGCTGTTTGTGAGTGCCTCAAGACCATATCGCGAGAAGAAAGCAGCTTGGTGGGCGGAAGTGTCTCCAGGTCCGTGACTCTCCGACATTGGAGAAGTGACGCTTTCGTTGGCCTCGGATGCCGTAGGCTCGGGTCCGAGGAACCATGCCCAGAGTCGGCGGTTCAAACTCATGTCCCTTCGTGATACCACACCAGCCGCTGCTGCGACCAGTCGCTCCAAGTCCGCTTTACCGACACGTTCTTGCAGGACAGGTGAGTCAAGAGGTAGGTGAGTGACTAGTAAGTCAAGGAATCCGCGCTGTATAAGTATTTGAGGGTCTGAAAGGCCAGATTCGAAGCAACGGATTAGTAGACCTGGCTCCGGGGATGTGGCTGCCTCTGCTTCGGTCGATAGGGTTTCGGGAGGCATTGAAGCATCTTGTGGAGAATTCCGACGACCTGGACTTCCGAACTTGGGCAAGTGACGTGTGAGAAATGCGAGTGCACCTTGTCGTCTGGATGCATTTGTTATGGTAGCGAGGAAGAAACACTGCCAGAAATGCGACGAGCCACTAGTTGTCCTCGATTCAGTTGCCTCGTTTGAGTTTTCCTGAAAAGTATTGCGCAGTTTCTCGGTTGCTGACACCATGCGCTCAAAGTCCTCGCTTGTCTCATCCTCTAGACCAGGAAGCAGCGAGAGTATGATGGCCTTCAAGGCTGGTCGAAGGGCAGCTCCGTCGAGCTTCAAAATGTGCGTTTCGAAGAGAGAGAGATAGAGTGGGCGGACCGAAAGCGAGGCAAAAGATAGTACAGAGGCAAGGCCGGGGAAATAAAGGCTCAGATCACGGGCGAGGGCGTCTTTCTGGGCATGGGTCAGCATCTGCCAACCTGACCTGTTGGGGTGTGGAATGGGCATACACTAATGGTAGAGAAGATATAGTCATAGACTTCGAGGGCTTTCTGGTGGACGCCCGAGGGCAATGTTGGATTCAAGCACTGCGCTAATCGCAGTGCAACTGTATCGCTATGGGGGATAACGGGTATCTCTGAAGGGTGCGCTTGCAAGGCCTGGACGGGATACATGATAAGCGCTGTGATTCATATTCGCGATGGTACGGCAATATTGACCTTGAGCAGCCTGGCGAGGAAAGAAATATAGTCGGCCCATTCCTGCTGGGCAGTATCCCAAAGGGCGAGGGCGCGCTCAACACCAGCGGCATATCGTCGGAATCCCTTGTCTTTTTTGTACAAAGCTGCGCAGGCCCGGTTAGTCGTGCGCAGTAGGGTAAAATGGTAGGAACAGAAACCTACGCTCTTCAACGGCATTGCGCGAAGCCCGGGGGGCAGGACTGGAGCGGCCGGAGCCTGTAGGTGAGAAGATGTGGAGGTTAGTAGCAGAATCAGCGGCCATATTTTGCGTGGCGGTTGGTGTGTTTTCTGTAGGTGGATGGCAGATTACGGAACATGCTGTACCAGATGGTAGAGCTGGGTGGGATACAGTCAATGGCTGCCTACGCGGTGAAGTCAAAGTATCTGTCCACGTCTTGCCATTGTCGCAACCCGACACGCAGCACTTCGCCAAAGCTCGGACCGCCTACCCGCGAAGTGCGACATGGGCTTTCACATGCGACGCCGTTATGACGCGCGCCACACGCGACCTCCGCCACTTCACCACCATCTCCATCACCACCGCCATGACGCCTGGGCAGACGGCCAGCTAACCTCTGTGGCTAATGTATCATGCACGACGCAGCGCCGGTAAATTCTGGAAGACAGCCACACATACAATGCGGGGCTAACCATAGCAGGCCTCATACGATCCACCATCTACCCCACCTAGAGTAGATGCATCCGACCACCATGACAACGACGACCCTCACGAACCGCCTATACACCTATTTCTTGACGAACCTCTGCATCACGACGAGCCACCACCCTCCTACGATGATGCCATTGCGACGAGCGGTGCGCCGCCAGACTATGGCACCTTTAGCCACTTCCTCGAAGAGTCGTCCATAGCCAGCAGCGACATGGACCCTACGGATCGCGCATTACCTGAATGGCTTGGACAATTGCTAGTTGTCTTTGTCTTCCTATGTCTCATATATGGATTCTGGCGATTCGTCCACAGTGACGATATGCCTGATGGGGAATGGCCTCATTTCGGACCACCGTCTACCTGAGAGAGGATATAGTACAGGAAATCACAAGATGCGACAGTCTATCTTTGGGGCGCATATAAAAGCTATTCACACCTTCGAACTGGTACAGGATGATGAGCCGCGCATGCAGTGACCGACTGGTAGGATCTTCACGGTCGTGCGACCCGAATACGACAGGCAGGGTATGAACGTGAGCAACCAGAGGGCCTTCAATTTTGGGAAAACTACCAATCTGGCAGTCCGTACGGACCATGGCCAAACTTCAGCTATCGAGAGTTCAGCCCTAGGCAACTCGAGATTCAAGAGACGAAAGCGGTAAATGGAAGAAAGAAGAAAGCGGTGAGCAGTATCAACATACAGCTGAAACATTCAGCTGAACATCAGCACTTGAATCATGCAAGGCACGAAGAAATAGCCTTTCCTCACTGTTGGGTCATCGGGTCAGCGTCGTCAACCTAATCTACGTTCCATCTCATACTAGCATATTAATAATGCTCATTTCATCATGCAAAAGTCTCCTCTCATAAACCCGCACATCACCTATCCCCCCATGGCACACGCCAATCGGCCCCCCTTCCTTCGCATCGGCCTTTTGAAATCTCCGTTAAACCCCACTCAAACTCCGTTGCCATGACATAACCAGCCAACGCCTACTTATGCCGTTAACCCCGTTTCCCAGCTCTGGCACCACCGTGCATACGCCCCACCGCCAAACACCCACCTCCCCAAGCGGCGTCTGTTGATCTCGCTCTGCCCGAACTGCGATCGACAACCAAAGGAAATAATCAAACGAACCGAACAAAATAAAAAACCAACTATACTATACTATAGTTCGTAAAGCGAAATTTCCGCCCTTTTGGACAGTGTCTGTGTCTGCCCGCACCGGCTTACGCCTGTTTAGCGCCCCCTCATTCGTCGCCAGCAAACGAACCATTGAACCAACATGACCCATGCCCTTCCTATACCTTTAACCTTCAAGGTACGTAGCCGACAAGAAAAGAACCTGGGTTGACCCACTCCACTGGTCACCCTTTTTGTTGTTGCTGCGCTCCAGTCCCAGTCTGCCCGCCGCACCACGCGCGCCAGCGCCCCGACCCCCTGGGGACCTTTCTTAGAGATCAAAGTTTATTTTCGGGCATGGAAGACCCGTAGCATCACCGCCTGATTTTTTCTGAACGAGGAAAATAGGGCTTGGCAGATAAGCATGGCATGGCATTGTGGGGCTATTTTGACAAAGCGAAGGGGGAGGAGAGATATGGGAAGGAAGGAGATAGGATGGGTGGATTGAACTTGTGCACGTTCCATTCTCTTCTGTTTCTGCTGGTTTGCTTGCTTGCTAATAGCTAGTGACGATGGGCGGACGTCCTGTCCCCTTCCCCCCAAAGTTTCCAAGTTTCCAAGTTTCCAAGTAAGGCGTAAAGTAGTAAGTACTTTTAGTTAGGACGGGAAAGGCTTTCTTTGGTGGAAATCATGGTATACATGTTCCCGATCGCGTGTTCGCGCGCGCTCTCTCTTTCGCTTGTCAGGCATGTGTTTTTTTTTTCTCTAAAAAAGAGATCAACAAAATAACAAAACACATGGGTCGTCGGCCTTTTGTCTTGTCGCCTTTTCGTGCATTATCCGAAGGGTATTCCATTTACAAGGGGAAGTTGATTGTTGGGGGTCGGTCCGACTTGGGGTAACACGTCGGGCGTAGCCCCCCTTGCCCGTTCCCCTGG